GTCACATAGGGCTAAATGCATAGCATTTTAGTAAAACTGCTAACGTTACAGCAGCGGGGAAGATGAACATGCATGAGTTATTTTATTTAATCTGTGTTATTTTAATGTTTTTTGACCTAAAACATAGAGACTCTGATGTTAATGTGTCTGCATTCAAGCATTTCAGTGGGCTTAAATAGATCACCCTTTACAGCAGATTTAGTTCACAAACAACTGACAGCTTTGACCTAAATATGATTTTCAGTTACAATAATTAATCCTAAAATTCGACATTAGTAACTTATTTTAGCAGCATCAGGCCGCGCGCGCGCTCACAAGATCTCCCGGTTCTTACTTGTGAATTCAGTTCACTGGAGACTCGCTCTAAACGGTTCATTTGAATCAGTGAGTTGTCGACTCGAGAACAGCTGCAATCAGATCATTCCAATTCGTGAATGAATCGTTTGGTGCGATTTGCGAACCGATTTAACAGGTTCATTGAAAAGAATCAGTTCGTTCATGAATCAGACACCGCTTCTGCGTCTCGGAGCACGTGATATATTATAAGCAGTAACGATACGTTTTATGAAATGTAGTGAAGTAAAAGTAAACATTCCAAAGCACTACATGCTTTGAAATGTAGTGAAGTAAAAGTAAAAGTTACTCAAAATAAAACTACTCCAGTAAAGTACAGATACTCCGTTACTGTCCACCACTGGTAACGTGGTTTTGGGTTTTGTTTCAAGTTTAAAGGTGTAATAGGTGATTGTCTTCAGAAACATTTTTTGTTATGCTGGTTGAAAGTCTCTTCACATCCCGATAGCAATCATTAAGTTAAGTGGTCTAAATGTATTCATCTGTATTTATATATTCTGTGGAAGGCGTAGGACCAAGAAATGTTCGTCCAATCAAAACGCTCGGTCCGAGCATTTTAATTAGCTTTCCTACCTGCCTGTCAACTTATGTATCTGCATACCTCTGCGCACCGGGTTCGCGCAGACAGGACACGTCATCAGCGTGTTCACGCACGCTGTGCACTCGGTCCGCTTTCCTACCTGCCTGTCAACTTATGTATCTGCGTACCTCTGCGCAACCGGTTCGCGCAGATAGGATACGTCATCAGTGCGTTCACGCACGCTGTGCAGACAGAGCGGGAATGACAGACAAACATCAACAACCTGATCTTCCTTCCTGGTATTGTAGTACTTTTAAAGTTTTCTCACCGGTGAATGACGCATGATGTAGCCCAGCGATTAATCCAGTCCTCGTGCCCCCCGCTCTGCATATTTTGAATGTCTCGCTTAGCTAACACACCCGATTCAGATAACCAGCTCGTTAGCAGTGAGCTACGTGCATGAACTGTGTTCCGATTGATATGATCCCTACACAGTGTTCATTGCTCCCTCCTCACTGAGCGGGGGAAATACGTTGAAGTTTACTTCACTTCGGAACATGGGCTGTGTCGCGAATCAGCTCATGTGAAATATGAATAACTAAACATAACTAGTTATAGTTAACTATTCATATTTTAGATCCGCTGTAGATATTTAGCTGACCTCTCAGGGTCAACTGTCTTGTCAATTCTAAGAACGTTAATTTCCTGGTTAAGGGAAATAACTTTCTTACTGTACAATTCTACAAAAGTTTGTAGCGTAAATCTGCATGATTAGTGACTCCGGTTATGAGCAAACAATGAACACGTCAAGTGTGATACAAGTAAAGTTTTATTAACTACATAAACACTTAATTCTGCCTTTGTCCTGGGACATGCAGGGATTTTCCCTGCTTTACATTCTTTTGGCCAATAAACCCAGTGATATCAGCATTGGTTGCCATGCAACAAGGGGCATGTTCGGCTTCCTGGGGTGTTACGCATTCCGGGGGGAAGGGTTCATGGGTCCTCATATGGCTTGTTAACTGAGGGGGGTTACAGAGTATTTGTTAAATATAAAAACAAAATATATATTGTGTGTTTGATTGGTCCAGACGCTACAGCTGGAATTGGGAACCGCTGATGTAGCCTGTTGTAGTAATGTTGTCTCTGGCACTCTGGTCTGTGAGTGAGTGTATATGCATTCAGGGGGCGTGGCTTTGGACAGCGATTGCAGGGAGGGTGGGACGTTCGCTTTCAGTGCTATCAGGCTAAAGTTAGCATTTTCCAAGATCTCCTATTGCGCCTTTAAGTTTCATGTCTTTTATTTAGTAATTTGCCTTTATTCATGTTTCCTATTCCTGTCATGTGTTTTTCCTTGTTCCCTCATGTGATCGTGCATGTGCTCCCCTGTTTCTGTGTCTTGATCTTATTAGTTACTTTATTGTACGTGTCATGTTTTCATTGGTTGCATGGTTTATTTCATGTTATGTCAATTAGCTGTCTTAAAAAAATGCACATTGTTCATTACTCGGTTGACTATTCCAGCTTAAGCTACATTCACATGGGTTATGATCAATATTTGGTTTGCAGAAATAATGTTGCCCCATGGTTTGGGGACTCTCCATATGTGTAATGGTTTTTATACTGTATAAACTCTATCTTCTATCCCCCTATACCAACCCTACCACTAAACCTACCATCACAGATAACTTTCTGCATTTTTACATTTTCAAAACACTTCATTTTGCCAAAGGTTTCCCATTGAAAGCAATGGAGTTCCCAGTTCATCCATATAGTGACGCTGAAGGCGCTTGACCATGCTTCAGTTTTTGATGCCTTGGGAGTGAGAATAGGTTGGTTTTACAGTTACAGTTTTTAAAATCTGAACACAGTTCTACTACTTTATTGTATGAGTATGTTCAAGGGTGATCGTGAATATTCGCTAGTCTCGTGTAGCCAGACTGAAGGCTGAAGGTCGGGGAACCTTGGTCGCTTTGAATGACAAGGCCTGCCCAAGAGGCCAGACTGACAGATAAATCAACCAATCACAATTCGTTGTGTACCGCGTCATGTTTAGGGGCGTGGAAATATCCCCACAATAACAGACGTGTGTGTAAAACTCTTGAACGTATTTTAAAGATTATATGCCGCAAATATTTAACATACTTTTGAAAATCCAGCATTTAGTTGATCCTGATAAGCGCTCGTCATAACAGTCGTAAACACAACAGCTTTACATGTTTCTAACATGAGAGGGTTTGTTTCGGCATGTTTGTTTCCAGGCGGAACGTTAAAGAACGCGACACACACATCTCCTGGAAATCCTGTATATTTCAACCAATCGGATGACGACTTCGAAACTCCTGAAGTGTTTCCACTTTTGTGTGCCGTATGCATCCGACGTTCAGCCACCGGTCCGTGAATGTGACGTCTGAGGCTGAGACTAGATATTCACCGATGATCAGTCTTGATCATTTTAGAACAATGTAGACAGTAGAGAAGAATACAGAGAGCACTGTGGTCTACATAAACCATTTATTTTCATTCGTCCGGGGTTTTTACCAAAATATGAAACATTCATAAAACATTGTGTTCTGCACAAAAACATTCAGTTCTACAAATTCACTAATATACAGAATCCACACTAGCAGCAAAATATGGACAACAACTGTATTCTTTGTTTTACTTTTTCTTATTTGGCTGAACATGTTTGCTACATTATTTTGTATTTGTTGCTTTAGCAACACTGTACATCATTCTACTTGCTACCATGAGATAACTGTGAAAGAAAAATCTAATTCCTGTAAATACATATCTGAAAAGTCCATTATGAATATAACACATTTCTGACATAATTTATAAAATGCATAGTAAAGCTTATCTTATTAAATTTACACTCTTAGATTCCAGTTCACTGGTTGCTGCACTGACCTGTCACTCCTTTACTCTTGACTTTCTTCCTTACAATGGAATCTGAAATACATTGTTTATCATTATCGTGACTCTACTCATTTAATAATAATACACCTTTTCAGTTTTCCCAATGCACCGTTGGTAAATTAGACTGTCTCATGGCTGCATCAAAACATAAAAAAAAGGAATCTGATCACACAATTTACAATACAATTTACATAATTGTATTTCACTTACCCAAGTTCAGCATGACATGCCTCTCATTTATCATCACGTGTTCAGCATCAAGTGGTTTTGCTGCAGCACCTGATGTAGCTGCTCTGATCAGATCACTTCAGCTAAAGGAAGAAGTGTGTTCTGTTCCATATCTATACACTTTAGCAGATATTGAGGAATATGATCTAATTAAGTGTTGTGTTCAACCTCTTACATCTAGGGCTGGAAATCCAGATTCATCTCAACACAATAAGACTGTGGTTTGATTGGTGAAAACCCCTGTAAGGACACTGAAGTGTGTCCATCGTGCAATTGCATTTTAAAGAATGTTCTTGAATTGTTTGTTTTGTGCTTGAAGTGAAATCTTCTGAACCCACTGACTTTCGCATGTCAACCTGTTTTCCAAAAAAAAGAAGGAATTATTATTATTATTATTATTATTATTATTATTATAAATGTAAAAGAACAAATTATTATAAATGTAAAAGAACAATCTATAATCATACATCACGGCTCTGTGCGATATCTTTCATGGTGTTCAGCAAATCATTCGCCAGAGTTTGTCTGAACTCAGTGTGTAATTTCTTCATTTGTTTGATCTCTTCACTTTCCATCATTTCCTGGTATTCTTCTTCAGTCTGTAAAACAAACGTGTGAATATGCATGAAATCTGAATATAATCAACAGGATATATACTGTAAGTATAGATATCTACAATCTAACCACCATGAAACATCTGGAGCAGAATATTCATAATGTTCAGCGTTATGATTTCATGATCTCAGTGATACTTGAACTTGATTGGCTGAGTGGCAACCCGATACAGTCTAACAGCACTGAGCCAGTTCAGTGTTTGTGTCACGACGCTTATCATTGTTTTTATCTGTGCATTGTCAATCTTTTTAGCATCAAGTGACTTGTTTATGAAGGAATCAAGGACTCATTTAATATGAATTCAAATTTGTGCTGCTCGGAGTCGCAACAGCATAAAATAGACAAAGTAATGGCCAACATTGTCAGTCAATACAAGCCTCTTCTTCACTGAAATGTTAAAGAGAACATAAATGTATAACTGTTTGTCGGCGCATGACCTCACCGGCTCTTCAAAACATTCTCCGAGCTTGAAGGTCTCCTTTCCGGGGAAAACCATCCCGTGTTGGAACAGGTCCCTCAAATTCAAGGCTACGAGGTGCAAGAGCTCGTCCTCATAGGCAAAGACCCTTCCATCTTCACCCAACAAAAGCACCAACTGCAGACCGAATGCGTCACACGGGAAGTCATCGATGGCACCAATCACCTCCATTTCCATCCTTTCTGGCAGGTAATAATCTTTCCAGGCTTCAAGCTGTTCTTCATCCCCTTCATACACCGTCCCATGCTGCCCACAGATTCTCAGAGTCGCACCTCTTGGTTTCACGAGAGGAATCGTCGAGTCACGATTACGCTTTACGAAATCTGCAACTCCACAGAGGTCCACAGCATCTAAAGCAAAGTCATTATTACAATCATCATTACTAGTTTATTAGAAATTATGAAATATAATATTCACACAGAGGCATTCATATCATTTTATAGCATGCATTATGTCTGCAATTGTAAGTTTATTTATTTTTAACTTTTGTACATGCGTACATTGCATGAATAATGTGCATCTGTATTATTTTTTTCTTTCTTTAGTGTCCAGGAATAGAAGGTAATGAATGCAACATTCCCGTAAGCAAAAGGACAGATACTGATAAGCCTGCCGACATGAAATTCATAAATCATCTCACACTAGTTGTCTTGATTGTGATTCTTTGTTCAGACTCTTGCTTGAATGGTGACACTTTTCTCGTCCGTGCTGCATGGAATAAATGTCTTGTATCAGTGAACATGCAACTCCAGGAAAGGCTTTTCAAATGTCGCAACAGCATAAAATAGACAAAGTAATGGCCAACATTGTCAGTCAATACAAGCCTCTTCTTCACTGAAATGTTAAAGAGAACATAAATGTATAACTGTTTGTCGGCGCATGACCTCACCGGCTCTTCAAAACATTCTCCGAGCTTGAAGGTCTCCTTTCCGGGGAAAACCATCCCGTGTTGGAACAGGTCCCGGAGTGGATTGAGCGCGCAGACATTGCTGGAAAGTTTGTACATTGGTCGGATATGTCGATAGCAAATAAAAGTAAAACAAGGCACACGCTGAATTACTAACGTTAACTGACGGTAAACAGAGAGAGAAGCGCACTTCTGTTGCATGTTCTTGATTGCTGATCATTCACTCTGCACACATGAAAAAATTAAAA